TCTATTAAAATGCACGCTCAGAACTTTCAGGTCTCGTGTCAGGATGGCTTCCGAAGGTATTTATCATCAGCGTGCAGCGGAGATTTTTTTTTCCCCGTACATCTACATTGAAGCCTCCCTAGATCACACATTTTTATATTTCTGCTCATTTCTAGCCATTGCGAAATAAGTACAGATGACTACGAATGAGTCCTGTGTGGTCCATCACATTTCCTTTCCGTTTTATCTCGTGCATGAGCCCATCCCGTACCTGTCCATCTGGATCCCCCAGTTTATTGCTTCCTGTGACTGTATCACACATACCTGAGACCGTCAACTTATAGAGACAAAAGGTTCATCTGAGCTCACAGTCCCCAGTTTAGGTCCTGTTGCTGCCTCGTAGAGTAGGAGGGTGTTGGGAGGCCACATCTCACCCCAGGGACACAGAGGACGAGACTGTTCCCACAAGTCCTGCCCCAAGGGCACACAGCGAAGGTGCCATCCAGCCACCGATGGGTCCGTCCACTGATGAGGTGAGGCCCCTCAGGATCCCATCACCTCCGATGGGCCTCAGCTGTGCACGCGGAGCAAGACTTCAACGCAGGAGCCTTGGGGGGACAGTTCCGGGTCCAAATCATAACCTGGTTGATGGACGCGGTAAGATGGCAGCACCCGGAAGGGTGGCCAGCGTAGCCCAGGAGATTGATCACGTTTCTCGTCTCCTCCTGGAACCAACCGTCTCCTCCATCACTAGCTCCTCCTCTGAGCCTTGAGCTCTGCCTCTTTGTGTGACCTTCTGCCTGACCCTACGCCACAGGGGCCACTCAGGCAGCAGGAAAAATGGAATGAGGCGTCCCCTCCTCTCCGGTCCCCTGCCCCAGGAAAGGGCTCTGATACCCAACCGACCGACCACGACACGCTCTCGGGTCACCACGAGTCCCACTCTCCCTGCCAAGGCCCCGGGAGCGTGCTCAGAAGGACCCCTCGCCCATGGCGGCTGCCTCTCCCCTCCTTCTCCTCTGCTTCACTCTCTTCTCTATCACCCTCCTTCCTGGCCCTTCTCCTTCCCCTTCCAACTCCTCCTCCTCCTCCTCCATGTCCACCATCTCCTCCTCCTCCTCCTCTTCCTCCTCCTCT